TTTAATCTTTCTTTTCTTTCAACTTCATTAGCGTACATTACCATACCCAACAACAAATAAAAACAAAAATTACCTGAGATAAAAAATTAACTACAACATCTATTCTAACAGACAAGACATTGTTACAATATATGCAAGTACTGTAGATAAACTTCTATTATCAAAAATGTAACGAAGGCATTTGGTGCGAACAGGTGCATCAAGGCTGGAAGAATAAGTGACATACTATTCAGTGTACGTCAGAAACAAGGGGCGAAATGTTGTGAACTTTTCAAAAAAAATTTATCTATAGTTCAAAATAGTAATGTTGTGAACTTATCAGAAAAATCACAGGAAGCTTGAAAGACTTCTGATTAAACCACAACCAAGAGGACACAGACAATTTGCCACTACAAGAGTGAATATTACAAATGAAGTTATTCCACCCACTGGAAAGAACTACACTGGAGGAAGTGCTTGCTAGTATATGCTTGGCAGCATCTGCCCAGAAAGTATGACCTGGACGAAATGCAGGCCATACGCATTTGGTCGTACTCAGGCCATATTTTGCATCCATTGACGCTAGCCCAACAAATTCCACCAAGGCCCTTTCCTCATGAAATGTCCACCTGTGCAACCGCACAGGTGATTTAATGGCCAACACAACCAGAGGTGGTTTTTTTATGCCCGAGCTGATAACGTAGGAAAAGGTAACAAACAAGCTACATGTATGCCACTGTGCTGACCCAAAAGACCAATTCATTTTCCTTGAAGAATAAAAAAGCTCAATTGGATATTTATAGCAAAAAATACAAGTCAATTTCCAAGTCAGACTGTTTCCAAGTTAAAACAGAATACAATAACACAGGAATAAATAAATTTTAAATAACATTAAAAAAGGAAAGACACTTTGTGAGTTGAAACTACAAAAGAACTCAGATCAACTTCTCCGCATTTAAGAATGCAGAAGGTTAAATGACACAAGGAACAATAAGCTTAAGTAACCTTGATGCCTGGACTTCCACCAGAGTGCCTCCTCTGTATCTTTGGACTAACTAAGTCTCCAGTGTTTATTGGTGGTTCTAGATTCTCTACATTCTCTACATTCTCTGACGAAAAGTCCAGAGGTCCTCTGATGTTTCTTCTCAAATCTCGTGCGTGCTTTTTTTTGGCCACTTCAAAAGTCCTTAAAATGTGGGTACTTCTGGGTACTTCTTTGCTTGTAGAATTATCAGGACTTCATTTCGCTAGTGTGAAGCCCATATTAGGAAAAGATCACCAAATAAACCAACAAAATGCGAATATTCATGACCTATCTACGGCTCATTGAACACTTTGTTATGCAAAGGCTCCGTAAAACAATCAAATCAAAGGTTTCTATGTGGAT